AAAAATGCTGGGTTTTTTGGGTGTTTTTGGGGTTTTTTTTTTAACTCCTTGTTTTTGACTCATTCTGTTATCTGAAGCTTGATGTGCCAGTCCTAACCATGGAAGGAAGAAACATACCATCAATATTTTTAAATGAGAGGACTACATTTCCTACTGATTCCAAATGGAGAGGAAAGAAGTCCTAAAGAAGGGTGAACAGACAGAAGAGGGGAAAACCCAACTGGGATATATCTATTTATCAAGTTATACACAAAATAAATCCATTTGAAATTATTTTTTTAAAGAGCTAACTCCCAAGGAATGGTTACCATGATGCAGATTAGTGTGAATTTTTTCATACCTGCTGAAGTTGGATCCTCTTCAATGGAGGCTGTGCAAAAAGGTGTCAGGAGGGACAGGGAACGGGGAGGGAAGAGGAAGGAAGGGAAAGAGAGAGAGAAAAAAAGTACAAGTGAAGAAAGGCATGTAACACTAATGGTTGTATTATTTACATTTTCTTTCTATATATAAAAAAAAAAAACAAAACAAAACAAAAACCCCTTTATTCACGTCATCCTCCACCCCTTCTGCTCTGAAATTGAGCATTTGGGGAGGAAAAGTGGCAGTTTTGGGGTGTGGGGTGCCCTACTGGGCTCCCCATTCCAGATATTCACATCTGGGAAAAGCAATAAAAATCCTGCTTTCAACCTCTCCCTTTTGTTGACAGATAACCACTAAATTGCCTTAAGTCTCCATCAAAAAAAGCACTGATGACTCTGGGCTGTCCATTCCCCTCACATTCAAAGGAAGGAAACAGACATATTCGCAGCAAAAGTGCATTTTGAAAGCACGCCAGTGACCCAGTTCCTTCTCTTCCTTGAGTCAGTGTATTTTATACACACATGCATCACAAAAATGGTCTCTTCACAATCCTGAAAAAAACTTTTGGGTGACAGCAAAGGCTGAATTCAAGTGTTTGTCTTTTGGGCACTGTAAAAGAACGTAGAAGTGAGATAATTCCCCATAAATATGATATAGAGTCTGTCCTGCGATATTAAACACATATTATCCATACTTTTACTTTTTCTCCCTTAATGACTGCATTAAAATGGAAATGGAAGTTGAAATGGAACCTCCTTTTGTCCCTTTTCTCACAGAATGAGTTCAAAGAGTATTGCTACAGCCATGTGGCAAGCACTGACCCACGCTGGCAGCCTCAGAACTGGCACATGGATAAAAATGTCAAATATTTCCTCAAAGACCTGCACCACACTTGGTAAATTGACTTTTTTGAGTTTATTTTTTTATCCTTTTACTATCACCCCTTGTTTTCTGGGGTGAGGAAACCAGGAGAGGAGCAGGCAGATTGTCCCTCTTTCCAACAAAAATCAGTCAAAAGACACCAACCACATCTGGGAGGTGCCAAAAAGCTCGGTTAATTCAGCACAAAATTCTGTTTGCAAGTGCATGTGACAGCCAGCGCTGAGCACATCAGTTATTGCTAATTGCAGAGTAGCACGGTGCCCTTTTGGGGACTGTCAGATYTAATCGAGAGGAAATAATGAATTACTCTCTCAAGAACCAGCCAACCATCTTGTCTCTATCTACAGACACTGGGGGCAAACAGGTGGTTTTTATTTCTAAAGTTTGGCGTTCAGATAAAATCCCAAAAATGGTTACAGGACCTCAAGAACATGACATGGTGTGAGGCATAATTTAAAATGGTATTTAGGTGAGCCTAAAATGGCCAAACTAAATTAAAATGGTACTTAGTTGATGCTAAAATAGCCTAAACATGGCACTTAGGTGAAGTCTTGCCTTCTGTAACTCTTTATTTAATGTTTYAATGTGTTCTGAAATTATATTAATYCTTTYGATGTACATATGTAAAGATCACATCAAGCTTTCAAAATATTCTTTTGCTACTTAACTAAATTTAAGTAAAATGTGTTTGTAGTAGTGGACAATGAAAGAAAGAAGGGAAAATTCCATCCCACTGCTTTTAACTTGAACTAATCAGCTAAATCATTAATTTAACAACACGACACCTGATTATACAAATAAACCCAGAAACTAAAGAAACCAACCACAAAAAAACTCCAGAAATTAAAGAAACCAACCACAAAAAACCCCACAGAAACTAAAGAAACCAAGCAAGCAASCAACCAACCAAAAATATCCCAGTCAAGTCCCCCAAACCCCACAAAAATGACAGCAAAAACCCCCAAACCCAGAAAATTTGGAATATTTAAATCTCACAACAACAGATTCTGAAAGAAATAAACTACAAATTAAGTCAATAAAGTAGGCTGCAATTTCTCAAGGTACCAGTGGAAGAGAGCACTACACAGACAGAACATGAAAGCTGGGAAGTCAAAATTTTACAAATGCCCCAAGTCTATATTAGCTTCCAG